AATGGGTAATTTCTATTGATCTATCTTCACATTCACTCTTTCCTCTTTTTCATTTTTCTATTTAGACTATTTAATGAATTTAAAATTTTCAGATACTGTGTTTTTTTAGTTCTGAAATTTCCACTTGAGTTCTTATATGTTCTGTTTCTCAGACAAGCTCTTCTTTCTTTCCATTTAAATCTTTTCCGTTAAGAGTGACTCAGATTTTCTTTCCTTTTTCTATGTCAACCAATTTGGGCTTGTATCTTAAAGGGCCTTGTATAGAACTTGGATTCTGTGATATTTTTCTGAAGGATGTTGAAGTTTTATGCTGTAGCAGGCAGTTAACCTGATTAGACTCTAGCTGTAAGTTCTGTGGTGCTTGCTCTGGGCAGTGGTCAAATCACAGTTCAATTCTTTAAGCTTTTAATGTTCCATTCATGCTGCTTTGGGGGTGAGTCAGAGCTCTGTAAAGTTCATACATACTGTCGGGGGATTTCTGTCTTCAGCTCCTCTTTTCTAGGACTCCTCATAGCCCAGTGACCTAGGCTGCTTCCTCTGGTTCCTTTGGTATAAGTGATTGAGGATTTTTACTAAAAACAGTATTTATCCTCAAGGGCTGCCTTACAACTGTGGTTTGGCCTCAGAATGAAGTAGTAGGAAGGGGAAGGAAATGGGTTATCACCTTCGTGAGAATACTTCTCTAAGTTTTAATTTGATTTAGCTTTTTAAAATTTATTTTAAAAATACGTTGTGACATTTAAAGTATACAGCATTTTATATATATATTTTCTTACTATGATGGAACAAATTAACATAGCCTTCATCTCGTATAGTTATTATTTTCCTCCTAGTGGTAGAACAGCGAAAATTTACCAATTTAGCAAAAGCCCTCAACACAATACACTATCACTGTGGTCTAGTTTATGCATTAGATCTTTTGACCTATTCATTTGATGTATTTTTTACTTTGTATACAGTGACCTACATCTATTTATCTCTCTCCAAACCCAGCTCTGGTAACCACTGTTTTATTCTCTATCTCTGTATGTTTGGTCTTTCAATTTTTTATTTCATATATAAGTGAGATCATGCAACATTTTTCCGTGCCTGGCTTACTTCCCTTAGCATAATGTCCTTCAGGTTGTGGTAAATGGTAGGATCTCCTTTATTTTAAAGACTATATTTTGTTTTGTTTATAGAGATATATGTATGTGTCCACACATGCATGTACACACATAAATATGGATGTACCTCACTCTATATCTCTGTATACACCCAATTATCCATTTGTCCATAGATGAACACCCAAGTTGTCCCCACCTCACGGACATTTGCACTCCCATGTTCACTGCAGCAATATTCTCTAAGTTTTTGTTTACTTTCCAAGTCAACAGTTAGTTTTTAGGGTTTATATAGTTACCTGCTGGGGTATTGAAATCACTGAACTCCAGGTGCAGCTAGCTCCTTTTTCCTTAGTGTGCTCTGGTGGGACGTTTCCCAAGATTCTTCTTCATTCTTTCTTGTCTTCTGCTTTTCTCTTCCTTTGCTTAAACAATGGTGTTGAGGTTCTTGTTCTGCCCATAGGTCTCTTACAGTGCTGCTGATTTTCTCAGGAACCCTCTTCATTGATGTAACCTACCTGTAACCTTACTATGAGTCAGTCCCTGATCTAGCTCACTTGCTTGGTTACTGAATGGTACTCTTTCAGTGAACCAGGCTTCTAATAACTAGACATCAGGACATTTATATTATTACCCCTAATTTCTTCACTGTTGGCTGAGAACCCAGGCAGAGAGCAGCATCGGGAATCTGGTGGTGAATGCTTATATCTTGCTAGAGGTTACATTTAAAGACCATCAAACAGGAACACTTCTTGATGTGTTATGAAGATAAAGCAGATGGGAATGAAATTCAGGATTCAAAGGGCAACTTTGGTTGTGTGAGACATGGTGAAGTGTGAGCTGGGAGCTGAGATCAAGATGACAGGAAACCAAAGCCTAGCAGAGGAAACAGCCAGCAAAGCTGGTGTGTGATGAGGCTTGAGAGGTGGGCCTGGGGCAGAGTGTGGCAGACCAAGGATTCACGCCAAAGACCTTAAGAACATCAAACAGGAAAAGGCTCAACTTTTTAAAGACAGCTGTCAGAATAGAATAATGAAGGGCCACCTCATTATTCAATCAAACTTATTTGCACAGATAAAACCTAAACACAAAACCCAATTTGTATGTATGTGTGTGTGTGTGTTGTTACCATTCTTAAAAAAGAGACATAAAATCCACTAGAAGAAAAAGAGGGGGCTGGGGATTTAGCTCAGCGGCACAGCACCTGCCTGGCAAGCGCAAGGTCATGAGTTCGATTCCCGGTATCAGAAACCACCCCCCCCAAAAAAAATTAAGAAAAAAAAAAGAAAAAGAGAATTTACTTAATAAAATCTTTTCTAGAAAAATTCCATGGGTTATTTTTATTTCAAAAAACTTCCCCATTTTAATATATGCATGCCTTCACATATACACACACAAGTTCTCCAGTGGCACAAGATGGTATATTATGAAGTTATAAAAAATACTACCTGTCGAGCACTGTTTCTTGCATGTGCAACCAAAAACCACTCAGGTTATCTGAGTAAGAAATCGCTGTGCCTACTGTGGGAAGTTTTTCATAAAATTTGCCTTGAAAAATTATTTCTTAGCCTTTCTTCCACCCCCAGCTCAATACAATATTGCTATTTAATTTTGCGACTTCACAGAGTTGTGGGAGATACTACTTGGAGAATAAGCAGGAAGAGTTAAAGTAAATATAAATGATGCTTTTACCAACTTTCCTCCAAAGATTTTGCATTAGAACACAAGCTACAATAAATTGTGTTATATGTAGGTACATAATGCACACAGATTTGACAGTCGTCTACATCGCTTATCTTTTACAAGTGTATAAGGCAAATGGTCCTATTCATTTATTCAGGCTGAAAACTAGTGTCTGCCTTGTAATTCTGTTGGCAGCTCATAATCTCATAATGCTGAAAATCACACAATATGACAAAATAGTCTGATGGTCCCCTGTTCTTCCCAACTGGAGAAACATGATCAAAAACTCAAGGTAAATTTATATTGTAAAAAGGAAATGCAATTGGATGATCATCATGCTGTCCTCATTCACAACTTGCTGTTTTGAACCTTGGCAACCGAATTTAAGATCACTTTAAAGAATCTTCTCCCTTTAGTAACTCTTTTTTTTTTAAATTAATTGGAAGGGTAGGAGAGCCAATGTTTCTTAAAGACTGGAGTGGGAGCTATAAAACAAGAAGTTCACCAAAAGGAATGGCTATCATCAAGAAAACAACAATAACAGATGCTGGCGAGGCTGTGGGGAAAAAGGAACCCTTCTCCACTGTTGGGAGTATAGACTGGTGCAACCATTGTGGAAATCAGTGTGGAGATTCCTCAGAAAACTAGGATTAGAGGTCCCATTCGACCCAGCTATTCCCCTTCTGGGTACCTTCCCAGAAGAATTAAAAACATCATACCACAGTGATATATGTGCACCCATGTTCAGAGCAGCACAATTTGTAATAGCTAAATCTTAGAAACAACTCAAATGTCCATCAACCAAGGAATGGATAAAAAAGATGTGGGTTTTTTTTATATAACAGAATACTACTCAGCCATAAAGAAAGATAAACTTGAGACTTTTATAGGTAAATGGATGCAACTTGAGCCCACACTCGTGAAATAAACCAGACCCGCATGTGTAAACATTGAATTGTGTCACTAGTGTGAGAATCTGAGAGAGTAAACAAGATCCAAAATGGGCAACAGATATAACGAATAGGTAAGAAACTGATCAAAAGAAAAGAAAAACTATGATGGGAGAAAGGAGGAAGTAAGAAAGGGGAAAGAAAAAAAAATATATATGCACAAGACAGTTAACACAGTTATAGAGCTGGTTTCTTTTGGTTCATTGAGGGGAAAGTTTTGTGCTAGTAGTTTTCTGGACAATGTTTCCTGCCTGTATCTTGTACTCTGAACAACTACTGTACATATAGTAATATGCAATCTGTTGATTATTGTTACTCTCTTACTAGTGTGTTTTGAAACTGTTTTTTTTTTTTTTTTGCTTTTTTATGTTTAAAATAAAATTAAAAAAATAAAACAAGGAGTGCATCAGTCTGTTTTTCATCTACTATAATGAAATACCCGAGGTTAGGTACTTTATATCAAAAGTTTCTCTCACAGTTCTGGGGGCACTAGAGCATGGCACAGGCATTGTCTTGGAAGCATGTTGGCTCATGGGTGAAGGCCGCAGGGCAGACGGTGTCACAATGGCCACAGTAGAAGTGGGAGAGATCATATCATAAGACAGGAACCCAGAAAGCAACTGGGGCCCCCAACGAGGACCACACTATTCTCTTCTAAGGATGCATATCCAGTGACTAAGGACTTCCCACTAGGCTTTGCCTTTTAAACATCCCACTGCATTTTTCACATCACCAAACTGGGGACTATGCATCTTTGTTGGAACAAATCAAAACCACTGTAGGGAGTGAAGCACCATCTGACAGACAAGTTACCACCATGCATAAAGCTGTGTTCTGTGAACCTTCGTGGTTCAGCTCAGTTTTCTAATTTCCAGTGAAAATTCTGTCTGACGCAACCTGCTCCTTCTCCAGACTTCACCACACTGGACCAGGTGCAGGCAGGGAAGGGGCTTCTTGGTCTTGCATAGGCTTTGTGCAGCCCAGGATGAAATCCCAGGGTTTCCAGTCAACTCTGGGTGTTACTGCAGGCAAAGTGGGCAAACATGCTGAACGCTGCTGTGTTGCTGCAGCTCAGCTGGGACCAAACTTTCAGCTCTGAAAAGCAGTTCCAAGAAAGACAGGGTAGCGTTCAGAAGCAGGGGCTTGAGACTTGCACCCTGCATCCTGACACTTGCATTCCCACTGAGGAACTGGGTGACCTTGGCACGTGCCCCCACCTTTCTGAGCCAAAGCACTCGAGACACACAGAACATGCAAAACCATAGCAAGTATACTCATGACATCTTTTATTGTTTTTCACAGTATTAAGGCATTTATTTTTGATGGTTTTCATTTTTAAACAGAATCATAAGTGAATGCATTAATCGTGATCTATTACCTGAGTAATACATATCAGAAACATTGTTCAGCTTTATTCTGAATCTCTTACAGTTGTGGAACACAGTTGTTTTGCTATTTTAAAATGGTGGGCATTTCATATAATTCCTTTTTCTTAGCATATTCTTGGGTATTTCAAATCAATTCTTTGACTTACAAGTTGTTTCTTAGAAAAGGGTTTATTTCAGTTCCCATTACTTTTAATCATCCCCATATCCTTCCCCAATTCTGTACAGGAACGTGAGAAAGACAGCGACTTCTTCAGTCCTCTGTGATTAAATTCTTCCTATTTTCCTCCTGAGCATCCCCCACTGTGGAGTCAGAGCCCACGTGTTTATGATCCCAGCGTCACCACCCCCCATGTCTCCAGTGGCTCATTAGTTACACCCCTGTTGCCCTCTGATATCTAAGTGTGTTGCAAAGAAAAATGAGCACAAAACAGGATCACAGCAAAGCACCACAGGACATTTTAGTTTGGAAAATTTTAATTTTTTTGCAAGTAACAATGAACAATGGTGCGTCACCAATCTGTAGTATAATTAACTCCTTGCCTTTTGTTCTTTATGAATTTACATATCCAATTATCTTTCTATTTAATTTCCTATCGTTTTGCTACGATGACTAAAACTCTTTAACAAGAAAGTTTTTTTTAACTTAATGGACTTTGGAGTTCATTTGTAACCAGTCGATTTTTAAAAGTTTTTTTAGGCTTGCGAATACTACTGCATAATCCTGCAAAGTTCCCTGCCAGAATCTGGAGTACCTGGTAACTTGTTCACTAGGACGATTCATGAAAAAGACTACACAGATTGGCTGGATAGAGTGGTGCAGTCTGTAATCCCAGCTACTTGGGAGACTGAGGTTGGAGAATTGCAAGCCTAAGGCTGCGTTGGGTAATTTAGTGAGACCTTGTCAAAAGAAAGGGCTAGGAATGTAGTTCAACATTCCTTGAGTTTAATCCTCACAAAAGAAACAAGCAAGCAAGCGAAACAAGCATGCAAACAAACTGCATGGGTGAAAGCACACCAGGGCCAGAAGCTGTTAAGGAGATGCAGCAAAGCATGTTATATAAAACATAAAGAACCAATGCTATTCTACCAAGGGATACTGAACCTGTGCATTCAACAGCATGTGGTGTCAGGTTAGTGTGGCTGAAAGCTCGTTTTGGTCCCACCAGAATTTCTGCTTTGTTTTTGTTGAGAAGTCTGCATCAATTTCCACTTTTTATTGAAGCAGGTGAAGTTTTGAGGCTGGTAAAAGAAGGGCCATTCCGACCCCAGGAGAATCCCACTGTCAACTGACTCTAGCACCAGAACACTCCAGATGAACAAACTCGGCTGCAGAGTGACTTTCTGCGCATATCTTAGGGCCTTGATCACACCTTCTGGGTGAGATTTTCATAAACAGCCAACTTTTGTGCAAAGGTAACTTTTGTATGTGTCAGGAAGACAAATTCAAGTTCTGACTTGTATCAGGTGTATTCTGTTCCCAGCATTAGCAGTCATTGACACTTCAGAATTTAACAACCAATGGTAGCTACTTGGCTCTTTTTAAAGTCTACATAGCTCTGGTAAGAGAGAGACAGCTATTTATTTTGCTAAAAAGGAAAGGAGATGACCTTTGTTTTGCTAACATTTTGCGAGTCATGACCACAATTTAATATAATCAGATACAGTGTGTTCAAGGAATTAGCAAAGACCACACTTGGATATCAAGCTGGGACTGAGGTCAATAGGTAGACATTGATCATATGCTGCCAGAAACAATCTAATTTGAAAGCAAAGTTGAGAAATGTGCGAGTAGGAGAATTTCCCCAACATTCATGCAGAGATAGCTAATATCATAACAATTAGAAAATTATTTCCAGGCTTTCTGCGTGGCAGTTCTACTGTGAATGTAACTTAGCACAGGCTTTATGTAAAAGGATGTAAACTCACAAAACTGCCTGGTCTATGCTTACATTGTAACAAGGGGTTGTGTGCTGCTGCTTTTTCTGGCAAAATAAAAAAACTGGAAGTGAAAGGGAAGCAGATCACAAAGGGCACTCATTCATTCTTCATCAGCTCCATTAGATCATCTTCTATTCCTTTCTCGCTTAGCTCATCTAAACTGTAGTACCGATGGACGATTTTCTCAGCGGTGACAACCACAACTCGGAGCCCATGGGTGTCTTTGCCCAACTGGCATCCAATGGCAGATGACACAACCATGTCCAGGTTCTGGTAGGTGCCCCCAGCGTTCCTGTGGTAGTGGCCTGAGAACACAGCTCTGACACCTGCAGGGAAGGGAAAAGATATTAGGGAGGAGGTCACCACGCTGTATGCTGGGAATGACACCATATTATTATAGTAAAAGCATAATTTTATTCTGGGTGTAATAGAAAGGAAGGTAGGTGATATATATGACATCTAGACTCTTTTCTAAGGTAACTCATATACACACTGTATTATTAACACGTTTGCCAGAACTAGTACAAGAAGGTACCAGGAAACAAGATGAGAGCAGAAAGATGCAGCAAATGACCTTGGAGGACACAAAGGAGAACAAAGAAAACATTTTGAGGCCTCTATAAACATCTACATGATGGAAGCTACATATGTACAGAAAGTAGTATTTATTGAGGGCATAGCGTGGCGGTAGAGGGTTGCCTAGCATTTACGAAGCGCTGGGTTCAACCCTGTTCTAGTGTAGATTAAAATGTCCCTCGAAGCCTCACACACTCATAGCGGGGGCGTGTGGAAGGCGACTGGATGATGAGGGCGTACAGCCGACTTGCTGTTAGCGGGAGGAGCTGGTTGGAAGAAGTGGGTCCCTGGGGCCTGCAAGCGCTGCCTGGAAGGGCGCATCTCTTCCCCGCCCCTGCGTTCACACTCTTTCTGGCCCTCCACCACCAGGCCACTCTGCCTTGGAGTCATGTGACTATGGCTGAAACCTTAAAAACTGTGAGACAAAATAAACTTCTCCTCCTTAAAAGTGTGGGTATCAGGTATTGTGTCTCAGGGACGAGAAAACACTGCAAATAAATAAATAAATGAGCAAGGGTTATGGTGTTCTAATTAAGAGTATGTTTAACACTTACTGTGTCCCCACTGCTCTGAACTTATAGCCCTAATAGATAAAATGTAAGAAAACTAAAGGATATAAGTAGGCGCAACACCAAAATAAATAGCTCTTGCACCAGAAACAAAAGAGAAAAGTAAAGTTGTGAGTGGGGTCATAATGTTGCTGGAGTGAAGCTCCTAAGGATGGCAGAGACTGATATGCTTTCTGAGAGAAGGGGAAGGCTGTGTAGCTCTGCTGAAACTAGACACGTACGGAGCCTCTGTTCCTGGGAGGAAGCTGAAGGACACTGCTGCTGCCTGGGGCTCGAGCCCGGGTGTTTACACTTTATGTCCAGACATCCTGTCCTCAAAGAACCTCACGTGCTCATAGGTGGGGCTTTGAGGAGGAGATGGATCATGGGGCATGATGCTCATCAGTGGGTTACAGTATAGCAAATATGGTATTGGGAGGCGGAACCTGGTGTGAGGAGGTGGGTGACTGGGGGCGTGGCTTGGAAGGATTATCTCCCTCCCTCCTCCCTTGATCTCTCTCTGCTTCTTGTCCATCATGTCAAAAGCGACCCTCCTCTGCCACGCCCCTCTGCCATGCCACCCTGCCTTGCAGCCAGCTGACTATGGACGGAAACCTCTACAAACTGTGAGCCAAAATAAGCCTTTTTTCCATCAACCTATGGGAGTTGAGCATCGTGTTTCAGCGATGAAAAGAAACCAGGTGGGCTGGTTAACGTTTGACAAACTACTAGGAGTACTGATAAAAAAAAAAAAAAAATTGGCAAAAGTCTACTAATTTCCATGGTGTAAATACTCCTGTCATAGTTCATGTCAAGTTGCCAGTGTGACGGGACTGGATCAGCCGTGGGAAGAGATACTCAGTCATGCACCATTACACAGCACCTCCGCTGTACAGGTGCAGAAGCTGTGAGCGACCTTGGGAGCAGAGAATAATAGTCATAATGATAGACATATGGAATAGTCACAGGTAGCAAAAGAATGAGTGTGATAAGTTCTGAGTATTTATTACCTTTGTTACTTAATATATAATCATCCTTTCATATTCATGGGGGATTAATTCCAGGAACCCCCAATGGATACCAAATTCCGAGATGCTCGATTCCCTTATATAAACTAGCATAGTTTTGCATATAACCTACACTCATCCTCCTGTGCACTTTAAATAATCTCCAGGATACTTATTATACCCAATACTATGCAAATAGTTGTTTCACTGTATTGTTTAGGGGATAATGATAAGAAAAAATAAGTACATGTTCAGTATAGATGCAATTTTTATAAAAATATTTTTTGGTTTTACTGTTGGTTAAGTGCTATTATATAATAACTGCAATATTTAACAGCCACTTCACAAAATTCCTTAAAATCTAATAATCATGGGGAGGGGATGTAGCTCAATGGTAGAGCATGTGCCTAGTGTGTATGATGCCCATTCTCCAGCACACACATATAAACAGCTAATAGTTGGTTCTAATGAACTGGGAGAAGATGTCTCTGGCATAACACTGGACTGAGGCTTGTTTCAATCTGAGAGTCTAGAAGGAAGGATGGACACAGACTCGCACCTAGGAACTGCCACACATCTTTCTAATGTTACTGAGGGGCTCTAACCTACCATTATGAGGGCTAGTCCTTGGACATGGGGATGTGGGTGGAGGTAACCAAAGACACCAGGCAGGGAGAAGTAGGTAAAGAGAGAAAGAGTGAGAGAAAAACAAATATGGAACGACTACTCCTTAAATTGAGCCTGCAATAAAAAAATTCTATCACCCATGAAGAACTCGCATACTAACAGCCCATAAATTCT